GTTGGTGGGGGGGGGGAGGGAGGTGTCGTACGGTGTAACTATAGAAGAAATAGAGTGAAGGTCTTATATGTTAGCATCTATTAAACAGATATATCATGATAAATTTTGGTGAAACTTTCAAAATTTCGTAAACTTTCATTGCATTTGGCTTGAAAAATGGTGAAGTTTCATGCAATTGGAAACATTGGATAGTATTTATATGGCATTTTGTGGGCCTATTGGCTGTTTACATCTCCTAGATATGTAACCAAACGGTATTGTGTTTACATAAACATGACGGGATTTACAAGGTAAGAGTTTACATTCCCATCCCTTTATGAAAAAAAAGGTAAAGAGTTTTCATTATAAAAAACAAAAGACCATACCTAAATTCTTGCTAAGCTATCAGTAGTTGAACTAGAAATTGAACTTTCCAGGGATTATGGAGCATTTGGGACTTGGGAGGAGAGATTCTGGAATCTTCTCTAACAAACTCCAACCTCACAAGATTATGATTGGAATTGACTTGCAGAGAGTCCAGTTCCAAAAATACACTGGTCAGCCACAGGAGCAAGAAGTCTTGGCAAGTACTGTACTTGGACCCAAATGAACCCTTAGAAGTTATTGAGAGATATGGCTGCCTTATATATGTTTTCTTGAGGGTTTGAAGATCAATTTTGAGTCCAAAGATTATTCTAGAATTTTAGAATTTTGGATGCTTTTCGGGCTGTACAAACTTATATATTCATAATTTCCAGGTTCTCCTTAGGTGCTGTTCACTTTATTACTTATCTCACTATACACTCTTGGGCTTGGCTTCTATTGTGATGCATTCGTAAAGATGGACTCCATTGTCAGGCAATCAAATAGAATGACTATGTTGTATTTCTCTATATTTCCTACTTTTGGTTCCATTAAAGGTTTAACCCCTCTTTCTTTCTTGGTGTGCTTATCACTATTTTTGATTAGAATAAGGAAAGAAAAATATAAAGTCAATATCTACCTAATACACTGATCTAACTCTTAGATAAACAAGCCATACTAGCCATCATTATCATCATCATCTAAGCCTTGTCCCAACTATAAGGGTTGGCAACATGAATCCCATTACCATTCTGATCTGTTCAGTGCCATCTCAATTGTTAAACTATGGGCACATAAATATTTTCATACTACTTCCACCCAAATTCTTTATGGTCTACCCTTGGCTCTTCTAGCAATCTAGCCTAAGATTCAAAATTTCAATATGATATGTGCTGTATCGGGCATATTGTATTGTATCGGTAGAGCCGTAGAGGTGTAATGTGGGCCCACTTTTGTAGGCTGCCTGCACTGTAGTAGGACATGCCAGGCCATGGGCTGCATGATATTTTTAGAAAAATTGAAAAATTTAATGAAAAAGTTAAATTAAATTAATGAGATAGACAAGAAATTGAAAAAAAAAGTCTTTAAATTTTATTCCATATGAATTTTGATGTATACACAATTGTTTATATATGAAATAATAAAATGAAAGTAAAAATTACAAGAAAATTAGAATAAAATAGTAATAAATAAAAATTTATATACATATATGTATATTTGTTAATATATTATTTTTTTGATCAGTAAACAGAATATACTTCATTAGATATGAAGAAGAAATTACAGCACAGATTTAAGTAAAAATTTAGAAACAAGAAAACACAACTTATCCATAGTTACAATTTAACCCAAATCTGCCCAAAAAAATTGATCCCTATACATCCCTTGTTTTGCCAAAGTATCTGCATATCCATTTGCTTATCTCTTAACCCACTTGAAACTTGCCTCAAAATCCTTTGCTAAGCTCTTAATTTCTCTGATTAGATGTCTGAACTTCCACACACCTGGGCAACTGTCAACCATCCAAGGAATTACTAATTTGGAGTCACCTTCTATCTCCAGATTCTTAAACCCCTGCTGCTTTGCTAATTTATTAATATATTATTACAATAAAAATTTATACACATGTGTGTGTGTGTTTGGAACAAGTCGTGGGCCTCAAAAAAATTTATATACACGTGCCGGCCCATGGGCCTAAAAATCCCCAGCTTGGAACGAAAACTCATGCTAGACCGTGCTGGCGTGGCCCACTTCACAATTGTGCGTATTGGCAGGGTGTCAATACTCTAAAATGTCTATTTGAAATTTGGTTATTTTCGGGGAGTAGATAGACCTAAGATTGACCCTCTGACCTATTCTTGAAAAAAAACTAAAAAAAAACTTGTGTATGGTTCAAAGTGTTGATACACCCCTTCCGGCTTATTGGGGTCTATCTATACTTTGAACTGTAACAGATCACTTCTTCTAATGGGTGTTGTAGATGGTCTCCTATGCACATGACTAAAGCACCTCAATCTACTTTCTCTCATTTTATCGCCTATTGGAGCTACTCCTAGGTTCCTTTTATATGACTTCTGTTGAGTGGGCCGGTTTGTTTTGTTGAGTGGCCCGGTTTGTCTTTAGTTTGCTTTTATTTAATTAGGAAGTTGTTGGGCCTTCGACCCATTTTTTATTTTTTAAAGTTGTGACTATTCAGTTTTAGTAGCCAGCCGGCCTACTAAGGGCATCCTTGTAATATCTCATCTTTAAGTTAAATATAAATATAATGAGGGGTTGGCGGCTAGGGTTAACTTTCTCATAACTCTAGTTGACCTCTTACTCTTTTCTTCTTCTCCTTCCTTCTCTACTGTTGAAACCTTCACTTTCCCCCTCTTTCTCTCACAAGAAGCTTGACTGAATCAGCAAATAGTGATTTCTACTACTTCATTTCTGACCTTGCCCTTTCTAGTTTTACCACTCATCCTTCTAATAAAGTAATTCTGTCACACTTGTTTTTTGTACATGCTGTTTCTTGACTGCCCAACACTTTGCTCCATACAACATAGTTGGCCTTACAACTGTTTCATAAAATTTCCCTTTCAGCTGGAGTGTTATTCGCTTATCACATAAGACTCTTGATGTGCCTCTACATTTTTCCCATCCTGCATGTACCCTAGTATGGAAGAGGTCATATTGAGTTATCTCTGGTCTCCAATCCTATTGTTATTGTATTTACATTGCATATATTCTGTTTAGTACTACTTATTTTAAAACCTCTTGTTTCTTATATGGTTGTCCATATTCCATAAACCTAATTTTGCATTTAATCCCTTGTCAGTTTTATCAATTAATACTATGTCATTAGAAAACATCAAGCACCATGGGACCTCTTCTTAATATCTTTTGTCAATTCATTTATGACTAGTGCAAATAAATGAGGAATTAGTGTTGCTTGAACCTTGGTGAAGACCCATTGTAGTTGTAAAATCTGATTTCTCTCCCATAGGTGTTCAAACATTGATTTTTGCATCCTTGTACATATTCTTAGTTAGGCCCACTGCCCATGTATCTATTTGGAACTTTTTTTTTCCAAAATCCACCATATTACTTCTCTAAAGACCCTATCATATTCTCTAAATCAATGAAAACCATATGAAGATCTCACTTCTTTTCTGTTAACTTTTTTTTTTTTTAATCAACAGTCTTAATAGAAAGATGGCTTCCATGGTTTGTCTCTTTGGCATAAGCCCAAATTGGTTTTTGATGTACTTGTTTCATGTTGGAACCTTTGCTTAATTATTTTTTTTCCCAAATTTTCATAGCGCATAAGTTTAGTTCCATGATAATTATTGAAACTTCTTTTCTGTTAACTTTTTTTTTAATCAACAGTCTTAATAGAAAGATGGCTTCCATGGTTTGTCTCTTTGGCATAAGCCCAAATTAGTTTTTGATGTACTTGTTTCATGTTGGAACCTTTGCTTAATTATTTTTTTTCCCAAATTTTTATAGCACATAAGTTTAGTTCCATGATAATTATTGAAACTTCGTATCATTGCCCTTGTTTTTAAATATAGGCACCATAATGCTCTTTCCATAGTTGTCAAGGTGACAAGGTGCTCATGGAAGGTTGCCTTGCTTAATTGCCAAGGTATTTTATACATGGTGGATGGTGCTACTATATACTTTTAGATTTTTAATTTTCTGAGATTATAATAAATAAAACAAGCATTATTAAACTTAATTATTCAGTTTGTGAGTTAAAAATATTATTTTCTGATTTGTTAGGGTTCAATCAACATATTCTGTATTGAACCATTGAAAACTCAGAATCTGAACTGATAAGCAAGGAAGAACTCAAAATTTTGTCCAATCAACACATATTGATTATTTCCTTTTTCTTTCATTCTTTCTTTTCTTCTTTTCCTAGGACAAAATTGGGATTCAACTTCTCTAATTTCTTTTCTTTCTTCTATTTTTTTATGAATATGCTGGTTTTCCATATTTTAAATGAAGTTTGTACATTTTTTAAGAAGTGTATAGACAGTTACTAGTGAAAGATGGTTGCTGCTTGCTATGGAACCTAGGGAATTATCCTACAGTTCATGGTTTTAATTAAAAAAAAAAATCCATCACCTAGGTGACTTGGCGACAAGGTGCCCCCTTGTTGCCTAGCCTCACCTTGGTACCTTGGATAATATGGCTCTTTCTTAAACAGTAATCCTGTTAATAATTGTACCTTGTACGTGTTTCATCTACAACTCATCTAAGTTAAGGTTGAACCATGTTACCATGGCATTGTTAGACAGCAAACTCAGTATGATAAATAACATAGCATCAATAAAGCTTCCCGAGTTATTTATCAAAAAAAGAAAGCATCCCGAGTTTTGGATACTTTAGATGCAAAGAGAAAATGGAAATATCTAGCACAACAAGATTATATGAAATATACTTTTACTCAGTTTAACACATCTGCCTTGGTTCTTTCACTTTTTTTTTTAACAGATCTTTATTTCTTCTCTTGTTTAGAGCAGACATTTAGCAGAAAATTGGTCCATATATTGTCAGGATTGCTTTACATGTTTTCCTGGCCAATTTTCAGGTATCCTCTCATGATTACTCTGAGTGCTTCTCTTCTTGTTAATATGGTCATCTTTCTGTTAGGTATCAGCATTTTGGATTTCTCAACTAACTCAGGTGATCATTTTAATGCTAGAATAGCACTTCAATAACGGCTCGGTTCTTTGCTGCTTTGGTTCCTTTTCTGAATTGCGTAAGGCTTGTTGTTTATGGCCTATCACTAGCCAATGATGAAGGTCTTGTGAAGTCTGTAACACGTGAGGGAAACCCAGAGTAATTTCTCATTTCACCATCCTTAAATATATCTCTTCTTTCTTCCTTTTTTTTACCTTCTTTTATTTTTTTTTTCAAATTTTGTGTCTTTTCTTCCAATGCATATCAAATTATCTAGTGTGGATGTGTTAATATTTGCAGGGAATTGCTTAGAGGTCCTCTATATTATGTTCTGATATTGATTTTATGTGCTGTGATCTTCTGGCGTGAATCTCCGATTGGGGTGATCTCATTGGCTATGATGGCTGGAGGAGATGGTTAAATCTCTGCCCTGGTCCAAATTCTAGTCTCTTGAGGCCCTTCAAGTTGTCTGATTGAGTTGTTGCTTTACAGGATTTGCTGATATCATGGGGAGGAGGTTTGGGTCTCTAAAGCTTCCTTATAACCAACATAAGAGTTGGATTGGAAGCATATCTATGTTTCTCTCTGGTTTCTTAATCTCTATGGGGTAGGTTATGCAAGAAAGTTGTATTGTTCAATATGTATTTTGACTTGAACAAATTTGCTCACATTTATATGGTTATTTTGTGTTACAGGATGCTGTACTACTTTTCTGCTTTGGGTTACTTTCAGTTGGATTGGGTGTGGACAGTGGAAAAGGTGGCATTAGTTTCCTTGGTAGCAACAGTTGTGGAGTCCTTCCCAAATAAAGAGGGCATAGATGACAACATATCTGTTCCTATAACAAGCATGTTAATGTCATTACTGTTTTTTCAGTTACCACCCTCCTCACATTGATCCACAGACTGTTTGTTTAATTCTTTTTGAGTTGGTTGATGTGGAAAGTTGCATCCTTAGATGGCCTTTGGTGATTATTCCCAGAGTTCCTTTGTTATTGTAGTAATTGAAAGCTAATCCTTTCATCCTCTGAGATGATAATCTGAGCACCATGGTCGGAGCAGATGTGAACTCATAATCTGAAGGGGTGGGGGGTGGGGGTGTCAAAGCACCTTTTTTAGTATGTGCCAAATGTTTCTTTTGTCAGTTGACAGTGAAAATCTGGATATGCAGAGAATAAGAACAGAAAAAAGGTAGCAGAAGAAAAGGGTGAAAGGAAAAACAGGTTTGAGGTAGGAAGAAAAGATTTGAGCTTTAGCTTCACAAGGCATAGAGTAGAACATGGAACTGGGTGTCACATTTGGGTGTAAATAGTTGCACAAGGATCAAGTAGTTTCTAGTGATTAAATTTTATGAATTTGCGTGATATGTATATTATAAATTCTAATAAATCTTATATATTTTTTAAATTAAAATTAGTATATTTTTGTGAATTATTAACTAATGTGTTAATTTACTACAAATAACATATTTAATGTTTATATGAGTAAAAGTATTGTTTACAAAATATTCGAGAATTTCAGATTAAGTTCACATTTTATTTAATACCAAAAAAAGTTGTATGATATCTATGTATCCTGCTATATTGATTGTATTGTATTTCTTTACAAGTGTCACTCTAGAATATGTATTTCTTATGTATTTATACTTTATTCATGGTTATTTTAACCTTAAAGTCAATGTTATTAATGTATTTGTGAGATTTGTAGGAGCTCCCTTAATTTATACAAACGTATCTACATCATTCCACCGTGTTCATGTGTATCCAAAGCATGCATATCACAAGAAATATATGTATCCAAGCTTATCAATACGATACATGACACCAATATTTTGAAGCTTTTTGAAATATAAGAAGAGTGACTTGCGACCATATTAAGATTTATTGCAGGTATGAGAAAATCTTTGTTTCATTGGATACATTTTAAGAAGTTTGATAGTTTTGGCTAGGTTAGCTCAATCTTAGGAAGCACTAATGGGGTTTCTTCAACTTTTCTCATTGCTTCTCCCATTATTGTTATGGATCATGTTGGTACACATTGACAAGATAAATGCTTTTCATGCTTTCTTCTCTCTGTTTATCCACGGATATACAGACGGATACCACCTTGAATTTAGGGGAGTTTTCTTCTCTCTGGACTAACTGTACCCCTACTGTTTATATATTCCTTTGAAGTACCCTGTTTTCTGGCAATTGACTAATTCAACCTCTACCACGTGACTCTTATATTTTTAAAAAATGATAATAATACCCTTTTGTGGTCGAAAATGCCCCCAAACAAGGGGTCGAGCTTGGTCTTGGTTTTGTTTGTTTCCAGGCCGACGACCGGAGCTTATTGAGGTCTCAATATGCTATTTTCTCAACGACGGCCATAGCTTATCCTTTCTCACTGCATTTCATTTGTGATCGAGCAATCCTGCAAGCGCCGATTGTGCATCAACTCATACATGAGTAGCATCTGCCGACGCTTGCAGCCGTAGGAGAAGCCGATAAGCACCATCACTCGATTGCAGACGATCTTCCCAGAGAGGGCGATCTCGTTTTGGAACTCGTGTTCACCTTATAGGGAATTGGAATCCATGAGCTTGACGACGATTTCTAGACCGGATGGGAGAGAGCCCTTGTCCCAAGCGGGGTTATCTGGAGAGAATGTTGCCGTGGCATGGCAGAGGACGGAGTAGGAGAAGCGGAGTGGGGGCTTCAGATCAGTCATCATGGCTGTCCTTTCTAGGAGAGCCTTCAGGAAGAAGACAAACAGGTAAAAAGCAACGGGCCCACCAATGATTGAGAGTTGGTCGGTCAGGCGGTGGTTAGGTTGTTTAGTCATTCATGGTAAGAGTCTGAGGTGGATATGCTTCATTGGAAAGATCAACGGCAGCGACAGTGTCAGGCTTGATGGCATGATGGAACCGAAACCAGAAAATCAATCCATCTAGACTCTGAACCCAGTAACTTAATGCTCTCCTCTAACCACCCCTTCATTGAAAAAATACATCCAAGTCCCTTTCTTTTGCTCTATTTTCTTCGGATTAAAAGAACCAAAAGTTAGAGATTTTCTGGAGGCTCTAGTTCGTTTTCTCAGACAAGCATCAAAACCCAAGCTTTACAAAGACGTCCATAGCAAGAATCGGTAAGGACTAGTTCGTTCTTGTTCCTGCGTTACTCGAGGTTTGGAAAATTCTCTGTCGAGATCTGCAAGAGATCAAACAAGTAATTTTGCCTCTGATCGAATAGTATGCTATAGGTTTGGAAAACTTCGTAGCTGCAATTTGCATGACGAGCTAGTATTTTTGCCTTTGATCCCACTGCAAGACATCGAAAAAAGGGGAAAATTTAGGATTTAATGTTATCGTCAACTATGGGAAATAGAGCAGAGGTTCACTTATAGTCAATAACGTTGTCTTCCAACGGTGCACAACCGCCAGATGTCGCAGCGGTCACCGGAATTCGGTTAGGAAAATATGGGTTTGAGGTTTCAGCTAGACACAGAGCTATGGCACTGTTCACAGTAGCCAAAGAGTTGTTTAACCCTTTTGGATGACTTGTACCCAAAGGGTAAGACGATCATTTAAAATTCATATGTTTTATTAATTTTTTCATCATTTTTTTTTCTCTAGTTTAGTTTAGGGTTAAATTTAACGTTTTATCTTTTGTATCACAACTTGATGATAATGTCAAATACTTTAAGGGATTATAGCTGATAAAGTCAGTTTTTGAACCCTAATATCAATAAAAGTAATAAATTTAATAAAATTTTAAAAATAAATTAACTTTTTTAAAATAATATTAAAAATAGACAAAATTGCTCTTCATCTTCTTCTTATAGGAGCCGCCCGCCACGGTCTCCTGACACGCCTATGCTCACCTCCGTCTCCGGCAACTTCCGGTTCAACTTCTTACCTGTGAGACTCAAACAGATAGATCACTTCACCAACTATCGTATCACATCCGTCTCAGCTCGTCCCCTGATGGTCTGCGAACCATTCTACAAGCCCAACACATCCCTCAAAGTCTATATCTATATATATACAGAGAGACATGGCCATTGCCATCTCATCTTATCCTTCTCCAACACAGAAAGATTCCTGGCTAGAAATGGCAATAGAGGAGGATAAACAAGTAACAGCATTAGAAGCTCAACCTCCTCTTCATGGAGATGTATTGGAATCCATCCCGTCTCACGTTCCCCTCATCGACCTCGTACCTGCCTCTCGCATGTCCAAGGCATGGCGACGCGTTGTAGCCTCCTCCCTCTGCAACTCACCACGTGCCAAGCCTTGGCTCTTTCTCTACATCCAGAGCCGTCGCAACCCATCCTTGATAACTACCCACGCCTACGATCCTAATTCCCAGCTTTGGATGGACATCACTACGCACACCTCCGACGACGACCACGTCTTCCGCTTCGGTGTTCCCACCGCAATCTCCTCTACGTTCTCTCTTCCTCCAAGTTTGCCTCTCATTTGACGCCCTCAATGTAACTTGGCACAACCCTGATCCTCCGCTCGTTTGGCGATTGGATCCCGTCGTTGCAATCATTGGGTCCCGCATCGTCGTCGCTGGTGGCACAGTCGAATTTGAAGACGACCCGCTTGCAGTGGAGATGTACGACCTTAATTCGCGGAGATGGGAGATGTGTCAATCGATGCCGGCGATTTTGAAGGGCTCGGCGGCCACCACGTGGCTCTCCGTCGCCGTCTCCAACGAGAGACTCTTGGTGTTGGAGAAAACTTCCGGCGCCGTTTGCATGTTTGATCCAGAGACGAGGACGTGGGAAGGTCCGTTCGATTTACGCCGCCTGGGACCATCCGTGTTTTACTATGTGATCGCTAGCTGTTCGGAGGATCGTGTGATTCTGGTCGGGCTGATGGGTGAAGCACTAGTACTGACAACATCATCCAAGGCATTGGGCTATGGGAAGTGGACTGCTAGAGCGAGACGTTTGATTGCTAAGCCATCGGAAGGATGCCAGGAGAAATGGTTGGGAAGTTGGTGAATGCTGATTGTTCACCTCCGTCGTCGATCGGGGTATCAACAGCGGGGAACTTGATTTATATCTAGAGATTATAGATATGGCGGAGAGATGGCGGTGTTGGACAGAGGCGTAAGCGGAAAGGTGGATGGAGATGGCGGTGTTAGGGAGATGGCGGAGGCGTCCAAGAGAAGATGAACAGTAATTTTATTTATTTATTTATATTATTTTAAAAAAGTTAATTTATTTTTAAAATTTCATTAAATATATTATTTTTATTGATATTAGAGTTCAAAAGTTACCTATAATCCCTATTTTAAAAAGTAGAGTCTATTTATTTCCTAAACCTTAAAAAAGGGTAATTTAAGAGAATTCCCTTGTGGCACGGTTCAGCCCAGCGTTTATAATTCCTGGCCCCATAAGGGTAATTTAAGAGAATTCTTGTTGTCGGACTTCAGAAGTGAAAGTGAAAGTGGTCCCACTTGGGTGGGTGTCCACTCGAAATGGGTGGGAGTACTTGCGATTGTTACAGCAAAACACGTTATCAAACTCAATCTCTTCTCTTGTTCTCCTGTTGCTATTCTTTCTCTTTGTGTTCAGGTTCAGTTGCAGGACAAGAAGAAAACAGGTTAATCTACCACCTTCTTCATGGAAACTACCAGTTATAGGGAACCTCCAGCAGTTGGGCATGCTTCCGCATCGCACACTCCAATCCTTTGCTCGACGCCATGGCCTACTGATGCTTATACACCTGGGTAGCCAACCGAATCTCGTGGTTTCATCAGCTGAAGTGGCTCAACTGATCATGAAAACCCATGATCTCATCTTCTCAAGCAGACCCAAGTCAAGCATAGCGGATCGACTTTTTTACAGCTCCGTGGATATAGGATTTTTCTCCTTATGGCGAATACTGGCGCCAGATGCGTAGGATTTGTATCCTGCAACTTCTGAGTACAAAGAGGGTGCAATCGTTTCGGTCAGTGAGGAAGGAGGAGACGGCTCTGCTAGTGGAGAAGATCCAACAGTCTTGCTACTCTTCACCATCGTTGTCAGCCATGGTGGACTTGAGCGAG